GTTTTTAGCTTCCCCTTTCGTTTTTAGCTTCCCCTTTCGTTTTTAGCTTCCCCTTTCGTTTTTAGCTTCCCCTTTCGTTTTTAGCTTCCCCTTTCGTTTTTAGCTTCCCCTTTCGTTTTTAGCTTCCCCTTTCATTTTTTCGCTTCCCTTTCGTTTTTAGCTTCCCCTTTCATTTTTTCGCTTCCCTTTCATTTTTCGCTTCCCCTCTCGTTTTCTCTTCCCCTTTCGTTTTCACTTCCTCTTGAAACCTATAAAAAAACAAGAACGGCTGGTAAACCGTTCTATAATATTAAAAAAAATCCACTATTCGTAATAATACTTACGAATCTCAGTCACGTCTTGGATCTACAAAAGCAAAAAACGAAAACGTTAGTAAAACGTTTCGTTAAAAAACAACAAAATAAAATTTGAAGGTATATATATACCTTCGAAATAGGAGTCCGGCCTTCTAAATGGGCGTCTTGGACCTACAAAAGAAAAAAAACTGAGGGACGAAGGGAAAGGGGAAAGGGGAAAAGGATAAGAAAAGTAAAGGGACGAAGGGAAGTAAAAGGAGGGAAAGAGGAACGAAGGGAAAGGGGAAGGGGAAGAAAGAAAATTAAAAAAAGTTTAAAAAAGAATGCAATAAGATGATCCTTTTTTAAACTTTTAATACGCGTAACGCGTAACGCGTAACGTTTATTCAACAAGGTTGAATATATGTCTAATCGTAGATCATTACTAATTGAAGTCGAATTTTTTAATTTTAGTCGAATATAGGCCGAATTGTATTAAGGCCGAATGTTCCTTTTTCGACTAGTGAAGTCTCGTACAATTTCAGTGACTAAGCCTGAATCTAATTCTCTCTGGAAAACATCCTCATTAAGTCTTTCAGGCATTTTTTGCACAGAGTCTTCCAATGAAATTTTTTCTTAATTGTGAACAATGTTCACGGTTTTTGTGTTACTTTCATTTTCATCATGATTTCTTAGAGAAGTTTCTGTAACACATGATAAGTCAGAAGGGACAGTTGACTCACACTGAATTTTCTTTTCTTTGTTACGTTGCCTTATCTCATCACTAACCCTTTTCTTATGTACCTCATCGAAGAAATCATCTGTCTCTTTAACCTCCAATGACTTAGTTTCTGTGCGAATAGGTTTGCATACATTAGAATTAAATGTGCTATCAGATGTATTTGATGATTTCGCCATCTTTTCTAGTTTACCCAGGCGAACAACATTGTTGGGTTCTCGACAGAGCTGGCATTAGCCAATAATTGTTTGATTTCCTTAATATCATCATCATCCATTTTGGAAATAAGGTTGGTCTTTTCTTTATCTCTCTGCTCTAATCTCGTGAATCTAGCTTCATATTCTTCCAAAGCGCACCTTAACTTTGCATTCTTAGCCTTGACCTCTGCATTCTCATCCATAACCTTGATATATTTGGCCTTAACCTCAGCATTCTCGGCCTCAAGCTCAATAATGCGTTGTCTTAATGAATCAAGTTCAGATGACATGATAATATTTTAATGCTCTATAATGCTAGTATTCAAAATCAGAAAAATATGTAGACCATTTTGGCTGATCGTGAACATTGTTCACGGTTTTGCCAAGAAATTTTTTATTATTACATGCAAAAAAATAAATACATAGTTTGGGACAAATGTTTAAGACAGCACCAGTTAGTACTCTGGAGTAATACATCCCTTTCGGCTGTAATAAGACTCTAGTTGCCTTTCCCTTTCAAGACGACGATAAATTTTTTTGGCATGCTTGGAGCAATAGCCCGTATAAGATAATGTAAGTTTATTGCATATTCTACATGGAAATTTTAGCATATTATTTGCACCCGATTTCCAGTGAAGCGAACATCCTGCCAAGCAGGTGCAGACTCAGCCACAAGCGCTCCCATCTCTTTTGATATGGAGACAGGTTATATGATCCATCTAAAGTATTTAGATTATATTCTTTCTTCACTTCCATTATAAAAATCTGATTTCAAATTATAAAAAAATCCGAATTGAACTGTGGTGGAAAAAGTATATCATAAATGATCAATCATATACAACAGCATAAATCATATCATCTATGGACTTGGAAAAAACAGTACTCAACATTCTAACCGGCCGATGGATCGATCCAAACAGAAAGCTATTCCAGAAGTTGATTCGTGAAGGCTATAAATATGTTGATAGACTCTCAGATTATTTAGAAGACATTGGAATTATATATGTAGGTGAATTTGAGCTGGATCCCTTAGCCGACTTCTACCACCCAGCTCTAATTCCGCCTTTATCAATCTTAGCGAGTAGAGCGGATATTTGTAAAAACTTTCCTATTAGTGTAGAATCTGCTGTTGTAGGAGGAATGAGTTTATTCATCCTTGAAAAAAATAAACGATCTACTCTTCAGAATCTAATACAAATGAACTATTCCAGTGACAACTTAACTACGTTAATAGGAATAACTTGGGAGCAAGAAGAGACGAAAGCTTGGAGGGATGACGTACTTAAAAAATTCCTCCATCACCCAAATTTAGTACTTTCAAGATATAAACCGAATGCATTATATGACACATTCACAAAAGCAGATGTTTTAGAGTCAGAGCATGTATTAGCTTTGTCACAGCTACTCGGTTAAAATTCGATTACAATACAAATTTGTTTATAGCCTTGGAATGGCAGTTCCATGACTATATTTTTTTCACATATCATATATGCCTGCAAAATTCATTTTTTTTATTAATAAATGCAAAAATAAATACAAAGGTTCGGGACTTGGATACATGATGTCTATGCTAGTGTCCTATACATGATTATTTTTTCAAACGGTAACCCTCTATTCTAGCTTTCTTCCTATCGGGTTCTTCATCCATATACTCCAACCTATCCTTTAACAGTCCAACAATGACCTTCATAACCCGCTTCACATTTTTACACAAATCTTTTTCTTCATCCAATCCTTCCTTCAAAGCAGATTCTGAAAAACGAATATTGAGGGGATCCTTGCTCGTGCTTGATATCCCATCTGAGGCAAAAAGAATAAAATACCATTCCGAGGCTGTTGTAACGATTCCGTAGATATAGTCAAAGTCTTCTTCGAACGTTTCGCCTGATTTACGTTTCCTATTCTTTTTATTAACTTGTAGAGCGCTTTTACACTGGACTAGATTCTGAGCGAAACCCATAACCACTTGATGTAGCTTCCCTTCCATGATGCAAAGAAGTTCCTCGAAGGCTTTGATTGCGTAGTTGACCCAGCCAGTACTTTCTTCTCCAATGATTTCAAGTTGAGGAGCTAAGGTAAGCTCTTTATCTGTTATTCTTTTGACGATATAGAGCAAAGTGTAAAGAATGGCCGAAATATATTCACAACGCATGGCTTCATTACTATCGGCAAGTATGCTTTCCATATTTCCTAACCTACGCTTTATTTCCTTTATACACTGAACCAATTCTTCATCATTGTCTTCGAGTTTGTAGGTTGGCTTAGAGCTTGGACTCGCACTCATGTAACTCGAGTTGACTCGAGTTGAACTCGCACTCGAGTCAGAAATTTCTTGACTCGAGTCAACCGAGATCACGTGGTTTATAGTGCCGGCTGAACCCTATTGTAATTCCTGCTGGCACTATGACCATAACGGTCTAGGTAAAATTATGGATAAGTTTTTTAGCCCGCACTTTGACTCAAATTAACTCGAGTCCTGACTCGAGTACTCTTCGAGTCAAAAAAATTCTTGACTCGTTTTACTCGAGTTGACTCATCCTGACTCGAGTCCAAGCTCTAGGTTGGCTAGAAGGTTGTATGGAGTTAGTAATTTGCATATACCTTTAGCGCCTTTGGCTAAATTCTAAGACTATGTAGTGCTTAATAAACTTACCGGTGGAAATTGATGAATAGTGCCTATTCCGTTACTATCGATGCCATATTTCGCCAACACCTTCTTCAAACTGCGGTATGAGGAAAACGCACGCTTCTTTTTCTCCTTACACTCCTTGGCGAAGTCCACAAGATTTTTTGCAGGTTCAAATCCCAAACTTAAACCCTGGAACTCTTCCTTACTCGTCTTGAGGAAGGCACGGCTATTAACTTTTTCTTTGCGAATTATTTCTAAGTCATCATCGTCAAGCTAAGTCCTTTTCTCCACGCAAGAAATCTATAAGCTTGGCTGTGTCATATTTTTTAATTTCGTCTGCCAGCGAGACCGTCTTATTTCTAGCAACAGTAGTGGAGGTGGAAGCTGGACTGCTGGAGTATAAGGTGTACTAGTTTCAGANTAATTTGCATATACCTTTAGCGCCTTTGGCTAAATTCTAAGACTATGTAGTGCTTAATAAACTTACCGGTGGAAATTGATGAATAGTGCCTATTCCATTTCTAGCAACAGTAGTGGAGGTGGAAGCTGGACTGCTGGAGTATAAGGTGTACTAGTTTCAGACATAGCGTTACGTTTTTATAGGGATATTTGGCTCGGTAAAAAAATAGTGTTACGTCCAGAGGAAAATATAGTTTTTATTTCTAGTGGGAACGCAAGTGTTAATATAGGTTTTTATGTAGCACAGGCATTGCATTATTACACGTGACCCGTTTCTCATATACGTTCGATAAGATAATACTTTATTTATGAAATAAAACGTTGCCAGAACCTGGCCTACAATACATAAAATTGTGACTATAGCACTACAGCCAGAACCGGCATGATACTAATATAGATAAAAAATAGATCAATGATAATGGTATATTGGTAAAATTCTCCTCAGAAGTTTACTTTCTGATTCGCTAAAGCCCAATATCCAAGGGGGGCTTTTTTTCCAACTCAACCTGAAGGTATATGATGATGTTAATAGGTCTTATTTTACCTTTTTCTAGAGGAAAAGGTGATACAGAGTTTTCTTCCTCCAAGGAAAAACATTGAGAAATTTTTTTTTGCGGATCCATCCATACCCCTTATCTTTTTTCAGGTATATCGCTATTAACAGTAGAAATTAAAGCAATATTTTTTTGAAAGAAATCTTTCCTATATAGTTCGATGTTTATTTCTTTTAAATCTTGCCGAATAGTCAGTTTTAATCTTAGCTTCCAGCTCATTAACAGTCAAATTCTCATTAATTGTTACATTGAAAATATCTTTGTTGGCCTTATTACGAACAAAGCAAGTGAAAGTGCTAGACTTCTTACTTTCCTAAATTCGTGGTCTATTGTGAGAACTTTTCGCTTGCATGTATACAAAACTTTTGGCATATACATACCTTATTTTGCATTATTTTCTCTGGGAAAATTTTTACGGGAAAGTTGGCTGAACTTCTACATACCATTACAGCTTTATATCTTGCTGGGAAAAAATAAGGAGGTATGAGGCGTAATTAGTATTGTTGTCTGATGCCAAAAGTTCTATGAAAGCACATGTAAATAGAACCCTCATACCTTTTTATATGTAGATCTACTGGAAAGACATAGTTGGTTTTACGCCTGGAGATCCCAAAATTCTGACTCCCTCAGCCTTTCATAACATATGGTTTTGACGTCAATATCTACTTTTATAGTAGTCCTATGTTGCAACTAGACCTCCTTTTACATTTTTCTCATGTTTGTTCGGGAAAAAATAGGGTATTGGTTAGCTAATATTTTCTTTGATATATGCGTAAATTAATATGTCGCACAAACCTGTCTGGTGATCCACTTATTTTTCTGTCGCACGGGAGTAGCTCAGCAAATTCTTCTGAGCTGGCGATCACTACTCTGGATTAGCTAGATCGGTAGTGTACCACCCCGCCATAGAGGGTCTTGTTAATTCCAGATTAAGAAAAGCAGAAATAAGATTATTATTAGAGAACCCAGATTAGGTCGAAATCTGAACATTGCTAGCCTGTCTAAGATAATCACTAAATGCAGTAGTAAAATCAGGCACAGTAATAAAATCAGGTGCATTTCCCCTTTCCGTCTGAATAAGCATTTCTACCACTTTATCAAGATCATGAACATGATAAAATCCAGATTCTGTGATATGTTTTTTTATTCTCTGTTGTCAGTCCATCAAAGAATACGCCTTCGAGATGACTTTTACAGAGATTGATAATATTATTACATCTCTTTATCTTTGAATAATAATCCACTATTGAGTCTTTGTCTTGAAGCAATAGCCCACATCGGAGCTTATCAACCTCATTTGCATTGTTATCTATCCGATCCCTTTAGGACCCCCTAATCTCATCCGTATCTATACCATTTGGCCATATTTCTGATCGAAGTTCAAGCGGATAATATGGCAATCCTATTAGGCTCAATATTTGTGGAAGATAAATAGCATCAGATTGTAAGAGTACATGGAATAGTGATGTTGGATTTCTTACACTGGGCAGACTATATACAAATCGTTTAAATATTTTCTCCCCCCAATGCCTGACTGCCTTTGTCTTCCAATAAATTTTGATTTCGCAAAATAGATCTTTCCAGTCTTGCCACTCTGGTATAAATTCAGGATTTCCTTCATTATCCCATTCATACCTCAATCCATATTCTTTGATAAATTCATTGTAGTCTTCATCTGTCTCGTCATCTGACATTTTGCTAATAGAGCAATTATACTTAATAAAAAAATAAAGTACTGGTTAGCATGCATAGCTCAGCAAATTCTTCTGAGCTGGTGATCACTGCTCCGGACTGGCTGGCTTAGAAGAACAATCATCTTTTTGCGCAAACTCAAGCTCTCATGCCAATCTATATATTCAATGTTAATTTAAGACCAATTATATAGACTTCTTATCAAAATTCAGGCGCAACCCCGCCCCTTTGATCTACCGATCTGCAGGGTGAATGTTTTCCATCCCGAAGAATTTATTTGAGGGAGTTTTTAATCAAAAAAATATTATTAATGAGCCGTTAAAGCGCTTCGTTGAGCACCTGACTCCAGATATTCACATAGCTCGGGATAATCAAACACGCCTATAATCCTATCCTGTCTTTTATTCTTGACAGTGATAAAGCCGGTTGTCCTATCATATGTGTGCTCATATTTGGCTGGATTGCATAGGGGCAAATATTGTGTGGGATTAGTAGTAAATTTACCTGTGGTCTTACGTCGATTATTCTTTGATTTCTTAGCTATTACTAGATAGTTTATCCGATTCAATTAATCTATTCTTTTTCTGAACAAATATGAGAAATAAGGGAGGGCTGATTAATCAACCTGGCATTTCATCTATATCACTTCTTAACATTTTTATATATCTGAAAAAAATAAACTGAATATTTATCGCACAATCTGGCCAAAAGCGCTGTGTATGGCTCGTCTATTTCCAAATTTCAGCTAACATTGCATCAATTTCTGCTAACATTGAATCCATATCCATAGTCTGAGACTTTTTTGGATCATTATTTCTAGACTGAGATGTAGGTGAAGAAGCCTGTGTTTAGGGTTTTGGACCATCACCTGTCTCTGGTTCAGATTTGGGCTCCTTCTTCGATTTTGGATCACCTAAAGCGTAATTTTTTCCTGCATCAAGACGGTTAATTTTATGTCTTATTGCGATTTCTGAAAAATGGTTGAGATGTTGAGAGGTTGGATTTGGGCCAGCATGAACCATCGAGGCGTGTTTAGCTCCTATTTTCTTAGAACCTCAGGGGTAATCTCATCTTCGTCCTGATTAGTTTTTAATAGAGCTCCGAATGGGTCAGGTCAGGTCAGGTTAATTGATAAACCTGACCTGAAATTTTTTTTCAGGTCAGGTCAGGTCAGGTTATATCAGGTTGTCTGTTTGACCTGACCTGACCTGAAACCTGAAAAATTTCAGGACTATTTTTATTAAAGTATTGAAAAAAACTGGTACAAAACTTTTTTTTTAATATAATACTAGTATTCACCTGTTAACTACGTTAACTGTTAATTGCCAATTCAAATATAATGAAAATCAATGATAATAAAAAACTCCATTTTTTGAATTTCACATTCCCCAACTAATACTTTATTCAAAAAAAAAATTTGTTTATATTTATTATTTTATTTTAAAAAAATTTTTTGTTATGCATTATTAGTAGTATATGTAAAATACAAAAAAATAGCAAAGGTAAAAAATCGGTTTCTATTTTGCAATGTTTATAATATTATTCCAAAACCCACCACCTAAAGTTCCAAACAAATGACTTATAAAAAATTGGCCCGCCTTGATCTGATTTCAAAAGTAATATAATATTAGTTGTTATTTATTAAAGAAAACCTTTTCTCCTATTTACCTGTAAATCCAGTCTAACTATATATTCACCGCCCTTCAACCTATCACATGATAAGTTAGAATTTTTTTTATTGGTGGTTTATTATAATTTAGATTATCGATATATCTATTTTTTTAAAAAAAAATATTTTTTTAATTTGTTTAGGAACGTTTTTTAACGTTCATTTGGTTAATTCTCGTAGGAATGCCCCTAAAGACGAAATCGGACCTCTAAAAATGAAAAGATAGGAAGGTTTTTTTTATTTTTTCATTAATTTCGTTTAAGAACGTTTTTTAACGTTCTTTATTGTCTTTTTTTTTAGCGCCCTTTGGAGACTTTTAGACTATTTTCCTTATTGATTATTTCAGCTCTCTGGTTCTAAGGTGCGTCTTTTTACTTTTTCCTTCCCATTTCCATTCATTCTAACTCCACTTTCTTCTTAGGTTTCGGCTTGGATCTTTAATGGAAAGCTTCTTTTCTTTTTAGGACTTGGCTCTTCGGCATTTCAGCTCTTCCAAGGTGTGTTCTTTTCTTTTTTTTTCCTTTGTCTTTTTTTTTTGTTCATTCTAACCCTTCTTTCTTCTTAGGTTCTAGCTCTTGATTTGCGAATCTTTAATAAAAGACGGCACATACAGGTGAGTTGTTTTTTCTTTTCGCTCTTGCTTTTCTTTTTCATTGTTTTTCGTTTGTTCTAACCCTTCTTTCTTTTTAAGTCCTGGTTCTTGATTTGCGAATCTTTAACGGAAGATGGCACACACAGGTGAGTTATTTTTTTCTTTTCGTTTTTGCTTTTTTTTCATTTTTTTTCGTTTGTTCTAATCTTTCTTTCTTTTTAAATTCAGGCTCTTAATTTGCAAATCTTTAACAGAAGATGGCACACGCGGGTGAGTTGTTTTTTTCTTTTTTGTTCTTATTTTTCTTTTTTGTTCTTATTTTTCTTTTTTGTTCTTCTTTTTCGTTTGTTCTAACTTTTCTTTCTTTTTAGGTCCTGGCTCTTGATTTGCGAATCTTTAACGGAAGATGGCACATATGGGTGAGTTGTTTTTTCTTTTTGTTTTTGCTTTTCTTTTTGTTCTTTTTCATTTGTTCTAACCTTTTTTTCTTTTTCGTTCTTTTTGTTCTTATTTCGTTCTTTTTGTTCTTATTTTGTTCTTTTTGTTCTTGTTTCATTCTTTTTGTTCTTGTTTCATTCTTTTTGTTCTTGTTTCATTCTTTTTGTTCTTATTTCGTTTTTTTCGTTCTTATTTCGTTCTTTTCATTCTTATTTCATTTTTTCATTCTTATTTCGTTCTTTTCATTCTTATTTCATTCTTTTCGTTCTTATTTCGTTTTTTTGTTCTTATTTTGTTCTTTTCGTTCTTATTTCGTTTTTTTTATTCTTATTTCGTTCTTTTCGTTCTTATTTCGTTTTTTTCATTCTTATTTTGTTTTTTTCATTCTTATTTCATTCTTTTCATTCTTATTTCGTTCTTTTTGTTCTTGTTTCGTTCTAACTTTTTTCTGTTCTTAGGTCCCAGTTCTTTAGCATTTTGGCTTTTTGGTTCAAAGGTATATCTTTTTTTTCATTTCTTTGTTGTTTCATTTTTTTGTTCTTTTCGTTCTAATAAACTCTTCATTCCTCTTAGGTCCTAATTCTTTTTTTGGCAACTTTGGCGCTTTGGCATTCAGTTCCACATTTCAGTTCTAAGGTGGGTTCTTTTTGTTTATATTTGTTTTCTTTTTCATTTTTACTTCGTTCTAACTTATTTCCTCTTAGGTCCCAGTTCTTTCTTCGGCTACTTTGGCACTTTGGCATTTCGGTTTCACATACAGGTAAGTCCTTTTCTTTTTTTTTTGTTTTCTTTTCGTTTTCTAAATTATTTCTAACTTTTTTATCTTTTCTTCTTTTTTTTTTGTTTACTTCTTTCGGTTCTATTTTTTTCACTACACTTTTTTTATTTTTTTTTAAGAAAAAGGAAAAAGGAAATGACTAAACGCGTAATTATTTTGACGCGTTATATATACATAAATATCAAGATCAGTACTTTTGCGCATGATGTGGTCACACAATTGTAAATGGTTAATTTATGGGTAGTCTAAACATAACGCCCACGTGATTGCAGTGTTTTTAAATATTTAGATTAAGATTATGAAAAAAAACGGTTTTGCAACGTTTTTTATTAAAATATTGAAAAAAAATATTGCAAAACGTTTTTTTTAAATGTTTTCGCAACGTTATTATTGAAATATCAAAAAAAAAACGGTAC